AAGGAAGAAGCGAAACAGAGAGATAGTATAGAATAAAACAAAATTCCAAAGAATTATAAACTCAAAAGTAACAACTCTTTGTTCTATATAATTTTTATCAATTACTTTATATTTATTAATAGATTCGAAAGAAATTGTTTAAAATGTATTAAAAATTTATAAACAGCTGTTAAAACGATGGATAGGCATGGAAACTAATATGTTGTTTTGCCTCCTTACCTTTGCGCTACTTCGCTCATGCGCTTTTTGATTGGCTGCTTCAGTTTTTGCGCTGCATCATCTTCCGTTATTTTTAGGACTCCTAGCTATTCCACAATGAAAATATTGAACGTAGCAGAAAAAAACGATGCAGCCAAGAATATTGCAACCATTTTGAGCAATAATAGAATGCGGAGAGTAAACCTAGTCTTCTATGTATTTTTCCAGAGAGAAGGATTTTCAGTTTATAATAAGATATACGACTTTAATTTTACCTTCAATGGTAAGGCAACAAACATGATTATGACATCTGTATCTGGCCATTTGAAAAATTACGAATTTCCTGCTCATTTTAAATCGTGGTAGGCTCGAGCGAAAATAATATATAGGCAATCTTGCGATCCTATAGTCCTTTTTGAGGCTCCTGTGGAAAAAATTATCATGAAGGACTATGAACCAATTAATGTAAAGTTTAATCTACTGCCTTTTACAACTGCTTAGCCGTTGGTCTTCTTGGTCATTGCTTTTGTTTATATGTGACCTTAATTTATATGCAGAAAACGTTGCGACGCGAGGCGAGATATTCAGATATCCTCATAATCTGGACTGATTGTGATAGAGAGGGTGAGAACATCGGCTTCGAAATTATTGAAGAATGCAAGGAGGGTTGGTTTATGTTCTTCTATTTAATTTGTTTATTTTAGTTAAACCTAATATCCGAGTCTTCAGAGCCAAATTTTCTGAGATTACTCCAAGGTAAGGACTACCTTCCTCCGTTTGTCCTCTACACTTGCTGCCGTCTTTAATTTTTCATGGCATATTTTTGAATTCCTGCATATAATTATTGAGGTTATTTTCTTCTAGCTCTGTTAAAATAACTTTTGACAGGTTTCTTAAATAAAGCAACCAATTGTAATCAGAAGTAGGATTTACAGGGCTCATATGTCGAGGGATTTTGCCTTTTAAACAAATCCAAGTCATTTGACTGTGTTTTCCTCTCAAAGTGAAATTTCTATTTTATCTGCACTCGCTATTTGTTTTTACCTTCCTGTCTTTTAATTCATGGCTAGCCTATTATATGTTTTTTCAAAGTCATTATCCTTAACACCTTTGTACCTTTAGTTCTATACATCACGCAATCGCCAATCTGGTTAGTCCTGATCCATTAGCTAACGAAGCTGTTAATGCTCGTCAAGAACTTGACCTGCGTATCGGAGCTGCCTTTACTCGATTCCAGACACTTCGTCTTCGTCGCGTCTTTCCACAAATTTTGGCCAATCAACTGATATCTTATGGCTCCTGCCAGTTTCCAACTCTCGGCTTTGTGGTAGATCGCTTCAAGGAGGTTGACCGATTTGTGTCAGAGCCCTTTTGGCGTATCATTGGTGCGTTATTTTATAGCACTAAGCGAATATTTTATCTTTTATATTAAATTTTGTAACGTTTTTTACTGAATATCTGCTTCGTATGACTACAATATTTTTGCCGATATTCTTATGTACCTACATAGTATATATATGTAGAGTAACTGGAGTTCGATGAATCTCTTCAGATAACATTGTTGGGGGACTTTCATTTCGTATGACAGTGCACGAAGAAGAGATTCATGGGTCGATCTCATCAGAAAAGGATGGCTGAATCTCGTACCCTAGCCGTTTGGCTTTTATACGATGTTCATGTTGACGCAGTCCACCAGGCATCCTCCATCGTTTCCGGTGAAAACGGGCGGAACCTTCGTCCATAAGTAGTTCCTACTCAATTATATGCCAACGTTCCTTACATTCAACATATTCCCTAATCTATTAATTCCATTAGTATCTTTTTTTAACAGCAGACTTACCATAGTCAGCAAACCTACTAGTTTGAGAGCATTCTATCTCATGTTCAGTTTCTACCATACCTTCGAGTACTTATGGTCGTTGGACCCAGCTTCTTTTACAAGCATCTCTGCGTTCTCCCAATATTTGTCGAATAGGTCAGCATTTCTCACCAGCATAGGTTTTATGCACAAAAACGTTAGATTTTATGCATTTCGCTTTCTTAATTATCTACAATTAATCTTATAGGGAGATAGTAAGCTGTGGGGGCCTTTGCATCTTTCTGGAGTAGTGAATTCATTTTAAACTTGTCTGCT